CACACCAGCTTTGAGACAACTAACTGCTATTCAATCTATAACAGTGAAAAACGTTTTTGTTTTTAAATGCAAGCTATTGTGACACCAGTGAGTGAGTGGTGGCACTGGGCACGGCCACTCCACTGTGAGCCCTGAAGCACACCAGCTTTAAGAGACAACTAACTGCTATTCAATCTATAACAGTGAAAAAAGTTTTTTGTTTTTAAATGCAAGCTATTATGACACCAGATATGAGTGGCACCGTGAACTGGCAGAGTACACGCTGTAGGGCTGACACACCCGCTTTGAGACAACTAACTGCTATTCAATCTATAACAGTGAAAAAAGTTTTTTGGTTTTTAAATGCATGCTATTTTGACACCAGATAAGAGTGGCACTGTGAACTTGCAGAGTACACGCTGTAGGGCTGACATGCCTGCTTTGAGACAACTAACTGCTATTCAATCTATAACAGTGAAAAAAGTTTTTCGTTTTTAAATGCAAGCTATTGTGACACCAGTGAGTGAGTGGTGGCACTGGGCACAGTATCCACTGTGAGCCTGACACACCCGCTTTAAGGACACTGACTGCTATTCAATCTATAACAGTGAAAAAAAAAATTTGTTTTTAAATGCAAGCTATTGTGACACCAGTGAGTGAGTGGTGGCACTGGGCACAGTATCCACTGTGAGCCTGACACACCAGCTTTGAGACAACTAACTGCTATTCAATCTATAACAGTGAAAAAAGTTTTTTGTTTTTAAATGCAAGCTATTATGACACCAGATATGAGTGGCACTGTGAACTGGCAGAGTACACGCTGTAGGGCTGACACACCGCTTTGAGACAACTAACTGCTATTCAATCTATAACAGTGAAAAAAGTTTTTTGTTTTTAAATGCAAGCTATTGTGACACCAGTGAGTGAGTGGTGGCACTGGGCACAGTATCCACTGTGAGCCTGACACACCCGCTTTGAGACAACTAACTGCTATTCAATCTATAACAGTGAAAAAAGTTTTTTGTTTTTAAATACAAGCTATTGTGACACCAGTGAGTGAGTGGTGGCACTGGGCACAGTATCCACTGTGAGCCTGACACAGAAGCTGGCAGACAACTAACTGCTATTCAATCTATTATAGTGAAAAAAAAATGTATTTTTTTTTACATGCAAGCTATTGTGACACCAATGAGTGAGTGGTGGCACTGGGCACAGTATCTACTGTGAGCCTGACACAGAAGCTGGCAGACAACTAACTGCAATTACATTACACAAAAAAAAAAAGCTGACTGATGTTCTAGCCCTAAAAAGGGCTTTTTGGGGTGCTGTCCTTACAGCAGAGATCAGATGAGTCCTTCAGGACTGTAATGGACACTGTATACCCTAACCTAGCTATGCATTTCCCTATCTAATCAACAGCAGCTACACTTTCCCTCCTCTCACTAAGCATGCAGCTTGAGAATGAATCTAAAATGGATGCTGTCCAGTAGGTGGGAGGGTCTGCTAGGAAGGGTGTGCTGCTAATTGGCTGGAATGTGTCTGCTGACTGTGAGGTACAGGGTCAAAGTTTACTCAATGATGACGAATAGGAGGCGGATCGAACCGCGCATATGTTCGCCCGCCGTGGCGAACGCGAACATGCTATGTTCGCCAGGAACTATTCGCCAGCGAACCGTTCGGTGCATCACTATTCCTAACCAGCAAATGTTATCTGCTACTTTCCATTTCCTTGCAGTGATTACTTCAAAGAAATGTATTATTGAACTTAAAGTACGAAGTGCATTAACTGGGATACGAGTCAGCCATGGTGCTTCCGATGTGGTGGCTGCATCGGATTTGTTATATTCAACATGCAAATGTGGTGGCAGATACTTAGAAGACCAGTAGCCAATGTATGTATGACACTAGTCAGCAGACCAAACTGTTACCACGCATTTCAAACCATAATTTGCTAGTTGCATAATGTAATTTATGAAATAAGTATAGGACAACTCATGATGAATTAATGACAAAGTAAAGAAAAAAAAAGTATATTTGTACATGACAAATATGTACCTGAAGTGTTTGTAAAATTCTAAACCATTCTATAGATAAGAGAATTTTAAAATCTGCCAGCAGATATTGATAGCTGTAAGAACAATAAGGATGTGGAATTCTCTGCCTGAAGAAGAGTCCATACAGATGTTCAAACAGCTACTAGATGCATACTTGCAAAAACAGAATATTCAAGGATATAATCTTTCAATGTAGGGTAATAACTGCTTGATCCAAGGATAAATCTGACTGCCATTCTGGGGTCAAGAAGGATTTTTTTCCCTAGCTTGTTGCAAAATTTGAAGTGCTTCATACTGCCCGTATGGGTGGGACCAGTCCCTTGCTCACGGTGCCTAGAGAGATATCAGCTATGCCTCACTGATGATGCCTAACAAGGATGAAACGATCGTCTGGGGTTGCTGTATCTCTCGTGCAGAGAGAACTTGCTGGCATTTCGGATCTGGACTGCCCGTATGGGTGGGACCAGTCTGATATGCTTCAGATATGTTCTCTCTGTAATGTTCACAAGATGAGCTGAAACCAGCTTGAGTTCTGAGCGGGAACCCACTGAAGGGCAGGCTATTTTAGCTGCTGTCCGTTCTCAGAATACTCTTGCGACCCATTTTTTGCTCTCCATTAGTTTAAAGGGTAATCCAGACGTGGACCCCTTGCTCATGGTGCCTAGAGCGATATCAGCTATGCCTCACTGATGATGCCTAACAAGGCTGAAACGATCGTCTGGGGTTGCTGTATCTCTCGTGCAGAGAGAACTTGCTGGCATTTCGGATCTGGACTGCCCGTATGGGTGGGACCAGTCTGATATGCTTCAGATATGTTCTCTCTGTAATGGCACAAGATGAGCTAAAGCCAGCTTGAGTTCTGAGTGGGGACCCACTGAAGGGCAGGCTATTTTAGCTGCTGTCCGTTCTCAGAATACTCTTGCGACCCATTTTTTGCTCTCAAACTGGGTTTTTTGCCTTCTTTTGGATCAACAGCAAAAAACAAATGGGAGGAAGCCTGAACTTGATGGACGCAAACCTCTTTTCAGGTATGTAACTATGTAACTATGTAACTGGGAAATGTATTTCTGTAACATCTGGATGGGCTTGAGTTTGAAATACCTGCTACAGATGCAGCACATTTTAACAGGCTTGTTTATGTTTTCAAATATGAAAGATCACTGGACATTTGAACTATTTAATGTAAACATTATGCTTGTCAAGCTTGAAGTTATGTAGACCTAATAAATCACAATATTCATTTGACACCAGGGTGGCCACAACCTGGCCAAAGACTTTCTAAACTTATAGAGTCAAAGAAGAAAGTAAAAGAATATAAATTTTTGAGAATTTGTCCATCAGAACATCAGATTACTTACTTACTTATGCCCTGCACCCCTCCCGGGATATGGGCCACCAAAGGTAGATCTCCAGAGACTCTTGTCCTGGGCCACTCTTTCTAGTTTACTCCAGGTGTAGCTCATCCTTTTGATGTCTGCCTCAAAGTCGCCTCGCCTGATGTTTCTTGGACGGCCTTGGTTGGTTGGCGGTTTGCATAGGGTAAGCCCTATCCAGCCCATGTTCTCTTCCAGATTTCTGGCTCTGCTGAAAGTTGGCAGGTCCTTTCCAATAGGTTGGTGTTACTGATGGTGTCTGGCCAGCGAATGTGGAGAATTCTTCTGAGACAGCTGTTGATGAATGTTTGGATTCTTCTGTTGGTGGTTTTGGTTGTCCTCCAGGTTTCAGCCCCGTACAGCAGTACTGACTTCACATTGGAGTTGAACAGTCAGATCTTGGTGGTCTAGGTTAGCTCTCTGGTAGCCTAGAGTTTCTTGATCAGGATGAAGGCGACTCTTGCTTTGCCAATCCTTGCCTTGACATCTACATCTGTTCCACCTTGCTGGTCGATAATGCTGCCCAGGTGGGTGAAGAACTGTACTTCCTTCAGGGGACTTCCATTCAGGGTGATTGGGTAGATGTTGCTGAAGTTGCTCTTAGGGATCTTAAGGATCTTGGTCTTCTCCTTGTGGATTATGAGTCCAACCTGTGCTAATGCAGCTGCCAACACACTGATCTTTTCTTGCATCTGCTGCTGGCTGTGGGAGAGAAGTGCGAGGTCATCGGCAAAGTTCAAGTCATCCAGTTGACTCCACAAGGTCCACTGGATTCCATTTCTGCATTTGCTGGTGAATGTCTTCATGATCTAGTCAATGGCGATGAGAAAAAGGAATGATGATAACAAGCATTCTTGTCGGACTCCACTCTTCACCTGGAAGCTGTTGGTAAGCTGTCCTCCATGGATCATTCTCTCCGTGGACTGCTCGACTATGATGCACAGCGTTGCAATCTGGTCCATGCATGATTGAATCTGCAGGAAGCCTGCTTGTTCATCTCGTAGTTGTGGATTGATGACGTCCTTCATCCGCTGTAGGATGATCTCGTTGAAGACCTTTCCTGGCACTTACAGGAGTGTGATACCTCTGTAGTTGTTACAGATGCTGAGGTCACCTTTGGAAGCTTGATTAGATAACCCTCCTTCCAGTCAGTCGACAACTCTTCTTCCTCCCAGATCTTCTCAAAGAGTGGGTACAGCATCTCCACTGATGATTTCACATCTGCTTTCAGGGCCTCTGCTGGTATGTCATCAGGTCCAACTGCCTTCCCGTTCTTTGTCAGGGTGATGGCCTTCCCGATCTCTTCTCTAGTCGGCTTGCTGCAGTTGATGGGGAGATCTTCATTGGCCGGGTTGATGTCTGATGTATTTGGTGGTGCTGGTCTGTTCAGGAGCTCCTCAAAGTGTTCAGACCATCTATTCAACTGCTGCGCTAGTCCTTTGATGACCTTTCCCTACTTGTCCTTGACGAACCGTTCTGTCTTGCTGCACTTCCCAGACAGTTTCTTAGTCGTGTCATACAGCTGTTTCATGTTGCCATTGTATGCTGCCTGTTCTGCTTCAGCTGCCAGTCCACTCTTTGTGGTGATTTCTTTGCTCCAACCACTTCTTGACAGGCTGTTCTCAGCATCTCTTTTATTGTCTGCCAGCTGACCTGTTCACCCCTTCTTTTCTCCTTCTCGTGCAGCTCATGTAGCACCTCAAACTTGTTCTTCAACTAAAGTCCAAACTCCTCCATAATTCTGGTGATCCTTAGGCGACTGGCATCATACTTCACTCTACACTGTGTTGTTTCCATTCAGTTCTTCTTTAACTCCAGCTGAATGCTGGCTACTACTAGGTGGTGGTCGGATGCCACATCTGCTCCTCTTTTAACTCTAACGTCCTGCATGGATCTTCTAAACATCTTGCTAATGTAGATGTGGTCAATCTGATTCTCTGTCACACTATCTGGTGGTACCCAAGTGGTTTTGTGGATCCGCTTGTGAGGAAAGATGTTACCTCCAATGACCAGGTTGTTCAGCGCACACAATTCCGCAAATCTCTCCCCATTATGGTTCATTACTCCCAGCCCTTGTATCCCCATGATCCAGGTGTGTTGTCCTGTGTTGTTGGGTCCAATCATGACGTTGAAGTCTCCCATAAGGATGACGATTTTACTGGCTCAGAATTTCTCTACGATTTTCTGCAGTCTATTGTAAAACTCGTCCTTGTCTTCTTCATCGGAATCATTGGTTGGAGCGTAACTCTGGATGACGTTGAGCTTAACCTTCTTCTGCTTGGTTCTGAAGGATGCTGTGATGATTCTGTGGCCGTGCGCCTCCCATCCAATCAGTGCCCTTTGTGCTTGCTTGGACAACATGAAGCCTACTCCCTGCATGTGGGGTGCGTCACTCTCTTCCAGCAATAGATATAGCATCATTTGATGACATCTTATTCATTAAATACCAGATTATAGTGAATTAAAAATAAAAGTGCAAGCGTTAGGCAAACAAATGCAGATTTGGAAAAACTTGATGATTGTCAAAGTTTGACTAGTTACAATTTAATTTTCAATTCTCTACACTTTGTTATTTTGTGAATAAATCCCTGTTCTGCCTTCAGAGTCTATGGAAAAATATGATTGCATGAATCAAAATATTTATTGGTCTAAAGAGATGAATCACATTGCAAAAATGTTAACTGGGGAGAATCTATAAGACGTGATACATTTTGCTCCCTGTGTGATTGTTCACTTACTATGTATTTATAACACAGTACTTTGTTTCTTGATTATTATCAACAAACAAGACAATTTGCTTTTGTGGGTCTCTGGAGGAACCAGCAGGCAGTCAATGTGACGCATTACAAATAATAAATTATTTAATTGCTCCAAATGCGCTTCACTTTACCGTAATAAAATGTAATTAACTGTTATTAATCTTGCATTTGTTTAGATTTTAAATATTTCTTTTAACATTTCCTCTAAAGTTAATAAAGTAATGTATCTTGAAAGCATTAAATTCACCTTTTTTTCATTTCTTTTTAAATAAAATTTTAGTGCAGACTGAATTATTTCCACATACCTACACTAAACAAAATTATAAACGCAACAGTTTTGTTTTTGCCACCATTTTTCATGAGCTGAACTGAAAGATCTAAGACTTTTTCTATGTACACAAAAGGCCTATTTCTCTCAAATATTGTTCACAAATGTGTCTAAATCTGTGTTAGTGAGCACTTCTCCTTTGCCGAGATAATCCATCCACCTCACAGGTGTGGCATATCAAGATGCTGATTAGACAGCATGATTATTGCACAGGTGTGCCTTAGGCTGGCCACAATGAAAGGCCACTCGAAAATGTGCATGTCCGATGATCGATAGTGGCACAGACTTTCCATCTTGTCACTGACAATTGTATCCTATCTCAGCCAAGTGGTGCAGAAAAATATAAGGTTTCTCCATCTCATAGATATTTCAGTCTTGGATACAAGTGAAACTTTACCTATGTATTTATATAACCATTTTAGTTTTTATTTTATTGAGTGTTCTTAGATATTCTGTCACTCTAGTCACTGTCTACTCAAAGACTTTCTATGGCTTCCCCCAACCCCCAGTCGCCCCTCGACAGGTGCAATTAACTCTCTTCATGTTGTACCGGTCCCGTGGAGTATTCATTCATGGCACCTGTATCTTAGTTTTTCCAAGAATTGAACTCTATTTGAAGACTGAGTGCAACTCTATTTGAAGACTGAATGGAACTCTATTTGAAGACTGAATGGAGCTCTGTTGACTGAATAGAACTGTTTACTGACAGAATGGAGCTTTTGCTGGCAGAATGGAGCTCTGCTGTAAGAATGGAGCTCTGCTGACAGCATTTGGCTGTTTGCTTAGAGAAGAGAGCTGTTTCCTAACAGAAGGGAATGGTGATGCGTCATACTAACAAGGTACCAATGCGTTTACCAACGAGATTACCATAGAGGTGAATGCCGCGTGATGTGTTCGGGTACTGAGGATCGTTCGCATACCGAGACATTTTTTTAGGGAAAATTTTAGTTTGACTTCCGAATTGTTCGAGAACGGACCGTTCGAGTTCCGAGGATCCACATTGTAGTCATAGTTTTGAAAACAAAAGAAAACAAGTCTTTCCAGGTGGAGCTAAAACACAACATTATTAAGAAAAAAAAAGAAATGACAGAAAATATAAGAAGCAACTTTAACATTTTTGGCAGGTAACTTCACTCAACCCTGTAACTGAGAAGAAAATGTGCAAATGGCATCACTATGCATTTCTTCAAAGTCTCTTTTATATCAATTAAAGTTATTTTAATAGCACTTCCTGCTTTCTCTAAGTTACACCTACACGAGGAAACACTCAGGCTCAGTGACTACAGTGTAAATTGTCAGTAAATAAATCTGAAATCAGAGCTGACTTGTAGACTTTTTTCCAATTTGACTACTTTTCCCTAAAATTCGAAATCCACCTTTAATTCATTTTGAATTCCTAATAATTCCTGCTCTAATGAATAACCACCCCGGTACGTTTTTTTATTGATGCCAGGTAAATATAAATCATGCCATTGTATGATATTTTTATATCTTGATTACATATTTCAAAACTATACTCTACCCAAGCAACAACTCACATTTGTATACCTGTACGAGGAAACTCTTAATAATTAAAGAAACACTTATAAAAATTTCTGATTTGAAGAGATGCATTCCAGAAAGGAAATAACCACTTCACCACCCAAGAACAATAAAACGGCTCTGCAAAATGTGAGTGCAAACACTTTACAATCTCAGTGTTTTGGTCCTTGATATGGAGAAGCTACTCTCTGTAAATCTGCATTGCATGTAGAGTTTTACTTTGTCCAGGTCTAGAATTTACAGTAGCAATAATAATCCAGTTTAAAGGTATTTCTACATATTTCATATTTTCTGGTTAATTTCATATTTACTTTTTTGTGCCCAGCTCACCATTAAATCTCAGATGTTTCTATACATACACAAAACATTACAGGGAGTATTATTGCTGTGGAATTTTGTAATATACTGTTATTCTCAGTACTGCAACAAATCACTTTATATTAAAAAAAAATTCCAATCTTTACATTTGGTGAATTAAATAGCGAATTGCAAAATTCTGACTTAAATATTAAAGGAGTGATTGTGAACTACTTAATAACTAAAACAGTGATTTTATTTGGTGCCTAAGGGGGTTACTGAAATTAAATGATTGAATTTGCATTTAAATTAACTTTGGTCAACAAATTTAGGGACAAATTGGAATTTACTAATGAACCAAACACATTGCAGTTTGTTTTCCACCTCTAACAAACCAAATATTGCCAAATATTTATATTTTTTTATCTAAATTTTTTATATAGCGCTTCTATCTAGAGCAATTTATCATTTATGCAAATCGAACATTGGTAATTATACAGAATATACACAAACAATATACACAAACTGATACAAAAGGACCCTACAGTAAAGCAATTACAGTACTTTTATACAATACATTTAGCAAGATGACCAGTGAGCTTGCAGTCTAAATTAAATATATATAACAAACACCCAACTTCATGAATCATATCAAAACAGCCAAGATGATTTGGAAAATTGAGGTGGTGACCTGTGAGCACAGCTCCTTCGAAGACATGAAAAATTACATGACGTTGTAACAAGTATAGATTTTATATATCAGAGAGCTATCATTGGATTTTAAGCGAAAAAATTCCTAAACTTTTCCAATGTATTAGTCCCACCACCTCTGCCAGGAGGCTGTTCCACGCATCCACAAGGCTTTCTAGAACAACATCCTATCATCCCTATCATGTCATCCTATACATATTAATAGAGTTGACTTTGAGTAAATGTACATTTTATATTTTTGTCATTTTACTGCTTTTCGATTCTCAGGTAACACAAGGAGCAACCAAACAACAGTACAACACACAAAAAAAAAATGAAAACATTTTCGGAATGTCTTTGTGTCTGTTTTATATAAAAAATAAAAAGCAGTTATCTTCCATCTCATATCAGA